TTTTATAATTATATGGTAAAATGAGAACGTAAGTAATTTTTCAGTGATAGTGTGCTGTGACACTTTGGTATTTTTATGTCTGATTTTGTAAGCAAGTAGTTTTTAAGTGAGGTGAAACTTGGGGGTACATAAGACAAATCAGACTCCTGAAAGGCGTAGGGTAGTCTGGAGCGCCTCATATTTTGGCCATCCTCCCTCTCTACCCCAACATATCCCCTATATTGAGGTCTGCAGGAGGGGTGAAATTGGAATCTGCTCTGTGACAGTTAAGAGGGTTTCCTGCTCCCTTTGCAGCCTGACCCAAAGTGAGTGTAGCAGCTCTGTGTGTGAGAAATGGGGCTAGTGCAGTGGTTCTCAAACTTTTGTACTGGTGACCCCTTTCACATAGCAAGCCTCTGAGTGCGACCCCCCCTTATAAATTAAAACACGTTTTTATATATTCAACACCATTATAAATGCTGGAGGCAAAGCGGGGTTTGGGGAGGAGGCTGGCAGCTCGCAACCCCCCATGTAATAACCTCGCAACTCCCTGAGTGGTCTCAAGCCCCAGTTTGAGAACCCCTGGGCTAGTGAATGGCTGCATCAGAGAATGGCAGCTATTGATATATTTTTCTGCCATTTTTAAAGTGTATGTGAAAAAGGCTATAGAATCATAGACTCATAGGGTTAGAAGGGACCGCAAGGGTCATCTAGTCTAACTCCCTGCCACGATGCAGGATGTGTTGTGTCTAAACCATCCAAGACAGATGGCTATCCAGCCTCCTTTTGAAAACCTCCAGTGAAGGAGCTTCCACAACTTCCCTGGGCAGTCTGTTCCATTGTCCTACTGTTCTTACAGTTAGGAAGTTTTACCTGAGAGTGAATCTAAATCTGGTAGGCTGTAGTTTGATTCTGTTGCCTCTTGTCCTGCCCTCTGTGACAAGAGAGAACAACTTTTCTCCATCTTTTTTATGGCAGTCTTTGATGAATAAGGGACATAATGTTCTTCTGCTTAACTGAAACATTTGAAAAGTAGTGAGAATGTGTAAAGCTTTGAGCTGAAGGTGACTGTTTATTTAGCTACATGGAGTGTGAGGGCCAAATTTACTATTTGTATTACAGTAGTACCAAAGGTCCAAAACTCAGGATCAGTACCCCATTATGTACAAATATACTGACACTATCTTTACCAGTTTAATTTATTATTTCCAACATGGATATTTTACAAGTTTTCTCTGACAAAGTTAGCATTTCATCTCAAAATTTCAGTTCTCTGAATAGTTAATTGTTTTGAATTTAGAGACTAAATCATGAATTGTGAAATAGAGGGATCTAAAGTGAAAATCTCACTACAACATTAACTTTAGAGTTGATATCAATGCTTCAATAATATTTAGCAGAAAATGTCAAGGTATTCTTACCCCTTTTGGCCCAAGAGGTTAGCCAGTCTTGGGGGTTTTGTGGGTTGTTTCTATTAAGGTGAGAAATTGATAGAGTCAGGGATTTCTTTGATGCAATCCTGTTTATTTACAGAAAACATACACACAGTCCTGAATCCCTGAACACACTAGGAATCAAACAAAAGACAGTTACTTTGCTCACAGTTTCAAGGCTCTTTTTAGCCTGTAGTCTACTCAAAAGTTATGTGTCTCTTAGGCCTTGTCTACACTATAGAGTTTTGTTGATGCAAGTTACGCCGACTATCAAAAAATGGTATAATTGCATCGCTTGTGCATGTTCACACAATGGTCCTGTTGGCATAGTGCATCCACAGTTGGTGCTCTAGCATTGACAGAGATAGCAGTGCATTGTGGGTAGCTATACTACTGTGCTACTTGCCATCTTCTGCAGCTACGAGTTGTGGGAAGGCAGAATGGATGACAGTGCATCACGGGTGCAGGCTCAACATCCCATGATGCAGTTTTTTCTGTCCCACCATTCCATGGGCTTCCAACTGCATTTTGTGGCATTTTTCAACAGCCCCTGTTTACTATCTCTGTCTGAAAGGATAGAGCCTGCACTGCTCTCTACTGTGGTGGTCACTGTTATGAACACATCATGAGTGGTCATTCAGTATATCATGAGCACCAATCATGTGCCATGGAAAGAAACAACACCAGATTACTTTTGGCATTCACGGAGCAGCTGCACATGGTGGACTGGTGCTTTTGAGCTTGGAAAACAAGCAGTGAGTGGCGGGATCGCATCATTATGCCAGTCTGGGATAACAAGCAGTGGCTGCAGAACTTTTGGATGTGCAAAGCCACCTTCCTGGAACTGTGTGCAGAGCTCGCCTCAGCACTGTAGCACAAAGACATCAAAATGAGAGCTTCCCTCTTGGTGGAGAAGCACGTGGCGATTGCTGTGTTGAAGTTGGCAACTCCAGATTGCTATCGGTTGGTCATGAATCAGTTTGGAGTTGGGAAGTTGACTGTTGGGGCTGCGTTAACACAAGTGTGCAGGACCATTAATCGCATCCTGCTAAAAAGGACTGTGACTCTTGGCTATGTGCATGAAATAATGGATGTCTTTGCAGCAATGGGATTTCCTAACTGCAGTGGGACAATATAATTTTGGCCCCAGACCATCTTGTGACAGAGTACATCAATAGAAAGGAGTACTTGTGGATCACCGTGGCTGTTTCACTGACATCACTGTGGGGTGGTCCAGGAAGGTGCATGACACACACATCTTCAGTAACACTGGTGTGTACAGAAATCTGCAAGCAGGGACTTTCTTTCTAGACCAGAAGATTCCAGTGGGGATATAGAAATGCCCACAGTGATTTTGGGAGACCCAGCATATCCCTTACTCATGAAGTCTTACATGAGAAACCTGGACAGCAGCAAAGAGTGCTTCAACAATAGGCTGATAAGGTTCAGAATGACTGTAGAATGTACCTTTGGCAGATTAAAAGCATAGTGGTACTGACTTTATGGCAGGTAAGACCTAAACAAGGAAAATATTCTTGTGGTCATAGCAGCCTGCTGTATACTGCATAATATTTGTGAGGCTAAAAGTGAAAAGCTTCACCTAGGATGGAGCGCAGAGGCGGATCGCCTGGCAGCTAATTTTGAGCAGCCAAATACCAAGGCTATTAGAGGGGCACAACAGGGGGCTATTTGAATCAGGGAGGCTTTAAGGCACCATTTTGACAATGAGCTCCAGTAATGTGTCCTTCTATACAGCACTGTGCCATGCTTTGTTAACTTGACACCTTGCATGAAAATTTTGATGATTCCTGACCATGATTTGTACTCAACAAATGATCAAATTGCCACTGTGTATTCATTCCAGCAGCAACCACCATGTGTGTGAGACAAATAAAGATTGATTATTTTTCACAGAATATGCTTTTATTAAATACCAATTAATAACACACACAAAAGTTTTGGTGGGAAGGGAGATAACAATGAAGGGCAGGGTAGGCTCTCATAGCTGTGTGTAACTCCAGCTATCATTTTGGAAGCTGTACAAAGGGGTGGAGTGAACATGGTACCAAGATGGGCCGGGAAGTTACAAGGAATGTGTGGGAGGAGTTTGGAGAGAGCATGGAAAGCAATTCTGTAGTGGCTGCAGAGTGGGCCAAGCATGCATGAATTCTTCCTGCAGCATGATTAGGGACTTCAACATCTCTGTTTGCTCCTCCATCATTTTCATCATCCACTCCTGGCCCATTAAAATTTGCTCCTGGCTCTCCTTTCTGTCCAGTCTATTTTATAATTTTCTTTTAAAGTCTCTCTCCACACCCTGCGTTCTTGTTTTTCAGCCTCTGAGAATTGGCAAACTTCTCAAAACAAGTCTTCCATGCTCCTCCTTAGTTGCTTCCTTACCTGGTGGATGCACTCTGCTGAGGAGTGGGGGTTCCCCTGAAGGCCACATCTGAAGAAGCCCAAGAAACAATAAACAGAAGCATTATTGTTAGTGCACACACAGCATCAAATCATCATAGTAAAATGAACCTTTTTAAACTACAAATCAGTCTCTCACTGTCCTTCGGCAAGCACACAGCTTGGTGAATGCCCTAAACATGGGAAGTTCAGCCTGTAGGGGGGAGGCACTCAAGATGGGATAAAGGGTCTTGGTGTTTTTTTTAAGGGGATCACTGCAGGTGACTGTAGTAAGTGAAGGCAATGTAGTAAGTAAAGGCTTAATGAAGGCCCAGTATGAGGCCTGAACCAAACTAAAGTAATGGTCAAGGCTTTGCTAGCATAGAAAGCAAAGTTAAGCTGTGAGCAAGAGGCAGGCCCTGCTCACAGAAGTTGGCAAGGAAAGGGCTGATGTTGCATAGTTACAGCATAAACATGGTACCAAGACACACTATACTAGAACATTCCACAGAT